CAGATCAGATCAGACCAGACCAGCAAATTTCAGTCCAAAAGAAAACATCCTAAATCTGTAATATAATTTCTATAGTAAGATGTTGGTTGTAATATTTCACAAATATTTTATGGGGTATAGCAAATGAACAAATGACCTGAACTGAATTGTTTGTTAGAAATTTATTGATTTTCCCAAGGAGTTAAACGTCTTTTAATAATTCACCCCTACACGAACAAGAAAAAATTATATCCCCTTGACTCAACGTACTATTTTCAAACAACATAACTTAACACAAAGTGTGAAAATTTAGAACGTAGCACATATATCCTTGTCTGAAAAGAAAATTAGATACGTTTTAAGCGGTTATATACCATCTATAAAAAATATTTTACTAAAAAGGAAAAGAAATTAATGTATAATAACATTAGTTCGCACACTATATATATGATTCATACTGGTATATAAACTTATGTGTGTAATTGTTGTAAAGAAGGATGAAAGAGATATCCATGTGTTCTCTAATTTATTGCTTCGAATTACATTTGTTCATTCTCTCTTTGTTTTTTTGAAAGGAAAACTAAGCATTATATTAAATCAATTTATCGTTTTCCAACTGGCTTACAATGCAAGCAGGAGGAGAATACACACTAGTAGCGCCGTCTGGCATAGAAAGGGCAGCCCTAGCTAAGCAATGAGCTACACCATTCGCGTATCTCATGCAATGAATGACTTATATTCTAGCTTCATGATGAAGAATAAGTCTAATATCATCTAAAATAATATCAAAATAAGAATCCCCTTCAGTTTCCAGCAACCTTGAAACCACCGATAGTGAATCGGTCTCTACTTTCACCCATGGCCAGTTTTGGGTATTCACCCACTAGAGCGCCTCACGAACTGCCACCGTCTCCGCCACTCCAGCAGACCAGTCCGCCGTCACAGTTTGCCACCCACATTGCAGAAAATTTCCTTGTGCATCTCGAGCAACCCAAGCCCCGGTTCGCTTACTCCGATCCAAATCGAGTGCTGCATCCACGTTAACTTTTATACACCCAGGTACCGGCTTCCTCCATTTTGACCTTTCCTCCCCTGGTTTAGCAGTCCTCATTGATGCTTTTTGAGCCATCCTCCTAGCTCGAAGTACAGAGGAGCCTATCTCCAAGACTTGCTGCCAATCCCCAGCCCTATTCTTCCAAAGAATATCATTACGAACCTTCCAGAGGCTCCACAGCGTAGCTATAAAGTTACACAAGTCCTCCCCCTGCAGATTATCAAAGAAGGTTTTAACCCAACCACATAAATCACCCCCCTGTCTGACAAAACGAGCACCCAGACGCTGCCAAACTGCCGAGGCTACCCTACATTGATTAAATAAATGCAACTCAGATTCATCAACTTCGCCACAAAGCTTACAACATAAATCCACCGCAATATGTCTACGTTGAAGGTTACACGCAGTAGGCAAAACACCTGTCATAAGCTGCCACAGAAAACATTTTAGCTTAGGGGTTAAAAATAAATTCCACACCTTGGTCCACCCGACCCACTCATTTGTTGTATACTCTCCACAGAGTAATCTATAGCCACTTTTAACTGTATAAACACCCCTAAGGTCATTGTTCCACCACAAACCGTCCTCTGAAGGTCTTTTACTAATAGGGATAGATAGAATTGCTCTTCTTTCCTCAACTGAGAAGAAACTCCCCAGCCGTTGCAGGTTCCACCCATCCCCGCTTTCATTCATTAGGGTTGCGACATTCATATCCGATATTCCTTCCGGTGGCGGAGAGCTAATACAACCCGAGCCTTCTCCGGGTAGCCATCTCTCCCTCCAAACAGAAATGGATTGGCCATTGCCAACTTTACGCCGGGTTCCACGTTCCAGCATCTCCTGAGCCTGAAAGATACTACTCCATACAAAGGATGGGTTGTTACCCAAGGTAGCCTGCAAAAAAGAAGTCTTGGGAAAATATTTAGCTTTAAAAATTCTTCCCACAAGTGAATTAGGATTCTTAATAAGTCTTCAAGCCTGTTTGCCCAACATGGCAATATTAAATTCACGCATAGACCGGAAGCCCAAGCCCCCCTTCTGTTTGGGAATGCATAAAGCCTGCCAGGATTTCCACCGAACACCTTTCCTAGCCTGATTAGAGCCCCGCCACCAATATTCATTCATTATAACTTCTATTTCAGAACAAAGTACTTTTGGCAGGAGGAAGACATTCATTGCATAAGTAGGCATTGCTTGTATCACCATTTTCAACATAATTTCCCGTCCTGCTCGGGAGAGAAAACGATTATTCCATCCTCGCAACCTCTTGATAATCCTGTCTTTCAAATAATTTAAAATGTCCCTCTTATTGATATGCACTAATTAGTAGTGCATAAGTGTATGTTTTTATGTTTGATTTGTGTGGTTTGTTTACCGTTTTATTTAGTTTGTAAACATTTGTGTGATTTTAGTTGTAATTGTATTTTTAATCTTCATTTGTAAGTTGTAAAGTAGAGTTAGGAATTAGGGTGTTGAAAAGGAGGACTTTGAAGTGAAGAAAAATAAGATTTGGCTGCCCAGAAGCAAAAACCCGACCGGGTACAATACTTCACCCGGTCGGGCATGACAAAGAATCAGAAACTGCTGAGAAAGTCACTAGACCCGGGCGGGTCACTTATTTGACCCGGTCGGGCCAGATGTGACCCGGAACACCAGAACATGCCGAAGATCGCCAGAACGTGGGAAATATTTGATTTTGACGTTGACCCGGTCGGGTATGTCCTTTTACCCGGGCGGGTCAATGCCCCAGGGTATTGAAAACACCTATAAATAACCCCATTTTCCTTCACAAAGACAACTCCTTCTTCCATACTCTTAAGCTCAGTTTAGAATAGCATTTCTTTTATGTTTTTATAGCATGTTTAGTCTCCAAATGAGGAGCTAAACTTCCATTTCTTGGTGTTGCTCTTGAAGCTTGTTGATTATTAAAGTTGTGAGTTATTTTCTTATCTTCTTCCCTTGAATATTAATTATTCTCTTAATCTATCTATATATTAATGTTGGGGAGTGTTGCTAAGATGACAATTAGTTAACATCTCGACATTAATTATGGTAGTATTTATTTTCTTCCTCTATATATTAATGTTGGGGAGTGTTGCTAAGATGACAATTAGATAACATCTTGACACTGGTTATAGTAGGATTATTCATATTTAATCTTCTTCCTTGAATATTAATTCTTCCCTTAATCTATCTCTATATTAATGTTGGGGAGTGTTGCTAAGATGACAATTAGTTAACATCTCGACATTAATTACTACTAGAAACGATCAACGAACCGATGGTTAATCGTTGATGGCTTCACAAGTAAGTAACTTCGGTTTATTAATGCACGGTCGTGGTTAATAAACTTAAGAGGGATTAATTTTGTTGGTTAAACCGAAACCGTTGTGTTGAGGTTATCAATCTCAATTGATTGCATCAAGGAGTTAAGAGATTAAATGCTACTATTAAGTCGGTATATGGCGGTGTTCTATACTAGACTAATAGTAAGGGTTATTAATGAACGGTCGTTGTTAATAACTACCATCGATGAATTGGATATACTCCTCGATTGAGTATTCGAGAGGGAATAAGTTATAGATATAACAATGATCGACTAAAATATATCAACAAGTGGAAAGTAGCAATGCCAAGTCCTTTTTATCTTTGAATTAAATCACATATAACTCGTTCATCTTCGTGTTTAAATTAAATTAAATCTCTCAATCAAAACCCCCCTTTATTTACTAGTTCATAAAAAGAGAATTATTCCTTTCCCTGTGGATACGAACTCTACTCCACTATACTACGTATAAGTGTCGTATTGTATTATTATTTTGAGTGCACATCACGACAAAGTGCACGTCACTTATTCCTCCCTATTAATGAAGGAAGCCCCAAATATCTCTCACTGGCACCTTCGCTACTTACCCCCAACTCGTTCCTTATAATAGTCTTACTATCTTCCCCAACATTTGGACTGAACATTATTGAAGATTTTTGATAGTTCACCTTTTGGCCCGAACTGCCCTCATAAACCTGCAAGATATTTTTAACTGTCCTGCATTCATTATCTCTGGCTCTAAAAAACAAATAACTGTCATCAGCAAAAAATAAATGGGGCACCCTAGGGGCTCCTTTAACAACCGCAATCCCCAACAGGTTACCCTCACTCTCCTGCTTTCTAATCATTGCACTTAGGCCTTCCGCGACTAAAATAAACAGATAAGGGGATAGAGGATTTCCCTGCCTCAGCCCACGTTTTGGAATTATCGGCCCTACCAGATCCCCGTCAAAAGGAATAAAATACTCAACAGAGGTAATATACTCTCGAACTAGCTCAACCCACTTCTCATCAAAATTCATGGACCTCATCAGCGCCTGCACATAGTCCCATTCGACCCTGTCATAAGCTTTACTCATGTCTAATTTAAGTGCCACAAAACCGTCCCTTCCTTGTCTCTTATTTTTCAACCAATGCAATGTTTCAAAAGCAATCATGGTTCTTGGTTCATTTCCTTTGTAACATGGTTCATTTCGTAACACAACTTGGTAATTAGTTTTATAGGCAGTTTCCTATATTTTATAGGCAGTTTTCTATATTTTGATTAGATAATTCGAATACAGTAATTCCGGTTACCTTGGATTACTTTCTCAAATATCTACCATTCATATTCGGCTACCGCATTCTAGACTAGGATGCTGCTTTGACAACACAAGCCTTGTGGACCCAGCCTGAGACCGAACTGGCCCGGACCCAGTGGAATCCCGGGTCAGTTCCGGGCCTGTAACCACACACAAAAAGCCCACCAAGGACCGGCCTGGAGCCCGGTCTGAGCGTGGCCCGGAACCGGACCATGCCTAACACAAGCACGTCGGCTTTACCTTTTCAGAAAGGATTTCTCCATTTTGGTTATTATTTTTGTAATGCATGAACTTATATTTTCCAAGTTATATTAATTGCCAATAAAGTAACCGATCAGTATTTTTGCTAAATTGCATTTTGAAATGGGAAATGTTGCGACAACTCCTCAATTTTACTCCATGAAAGGTATAGGTAAAATAATCTAAACCACACTGATACATTGCCATACAGCCATAGGGAGCATCTAGTGCAAATGGAGTATGTGAAAAGCACAATAACTAGAAGTTGACCATTGTCAGGCACATATCATAGCACACAAGCTACCAGGAAAATGTGAAAATTGGAAACTGTTATAAGTGAATAATAAAAATCAGCAGGCCAACATACTCTCCAAATGTGGGGAGAAGAAAAATAAAAGCTGAACACAACACCCGGCAGAGAAGAAGGTGGCGCAATCATAGATTTGGATTGGTTCGACAATATGACCTCAAAGTTCTTCATTTAGATGGAAGGCCTCTGGTGAATAACTGCCAGCTGACCAAAGCAATGGCCAGTGAGGTGAATAATTCAAAGCCAACGACCTTTGAAAGTTGCCACCCCATCCCCTGCTTCAGATAGCTGCAAATACCACCGACATAAACAACCTCAAAAAATCCCATTCTTTCTTTGGCATAAAGGGCAATCACCAAAAAAACTACTGTAAAGTGGTACTCTTTCCATCCCTCCTTAATTTCTTAACCAGATGTGCATTTCATTTTTTCAATTCCATTTTTACCCCTACTTAATCATCCACTATAAACTCGAAGTTGCTCCATATTAAAACTGTTACAATGGAAACTGCCTATAAAACTAATTGTAGCTTAACAGTCACTTCACAATTCATGTGGAAATAGATAGTTGGCTGTTTCTTGGGTCAGATGGATTAATTACATTTGGTATAGTAAATACAAATTGAAGAACTAACCTCGTTATGGATGGCATTGTTGCTACAATCCCAGCACATGTATATATAATAGGAATCAATGTCTTGGGTTTGCTTTTCTGCAGCCACATCAGAGATCCCAATGCTGATAGTGATAAGTTAAATACCTAGATAAATCACAAATAGATCGGCAAAATGTAGTTTAGCATCAGGCATAGAGAACGGATATGCTTAGGCAGGGCCACAGTTTGCACTACTTTGCAGGAAAAAGGAACTGTTGTTAAATGTACTGCCTCTTTCTCAAATAAAAATGAACTGTTATTAAATGTAATGCCTCTTTCCCCAAAAAACACTTTTTCTGAAACCTTTTTCATCCCAAAATGAAACCTCTTCAAAAAGCCAAGTATCATTTTTGTGTAAATTTCATGCAAACCCAAGGTTTTAGTGAATTACTACTAGTCTTTTAAATAGGTTTCAGGGTTTAAAAGATTGCACCTTGATTGAGTTGGCCAAATAAAAAGTTATAAACATGAAAACTTTTTCACAGACGGAGTTTTAGATTTTTTATCTACACTGTTAATATTTTCTAGTTTTGTACTCCCTCCGTCCCTTATAACTTTGCCAACTTTCCTTTTTTGGGCGTCCCAATAACTTTGCCACTTTCCCATTTAAGTAAAGAATTTGTGGTTCCAGTTAATTCTCTCTCCTCTGCACAAACCTCAACCACACAGTTTTTACTTTATTAATTCTCGTGCCGGTCAAACTTGGCAAAGTTATTAGGGACGGAGGGAGTATTTTTTTAACTAGAAACGTAAGAGTTTAATTTTTTTTTCAATACAAAATTGGCATTTGCTTCAAGGCAGTTCACATGAAAAAAATGACAAGCATATGAAGAGAGAAGACGGTTATGCAAAAAGGCAGGCTAGTTCACATCATAACACAATTACTTACCAAGTCCAACAGCTTGAAACTTGTGATTCTGAGAAATATTCCTGTGAGTCAATTGCGTCAATGCAAAATAAAGTCCAGCAACATCTATAAACCAGATCAGAGCTTTCAACAATTCCTGAAAAAAGTGTATCTTAAATTCTCTATTTGCATATTCAAAAAAGATGGATACATGCATAAAAGGAAACAAGTTAAAAACAGTCAATTTTGATAGTAAAAAATATGCTGGACAAAATTATTATTGAATCAACATTAGAAAAAATATCATGGATACTATCATGATATCTTCTTCAATACGTTGAAATCAAGTTTTCCATTATTGATTTCTTTCCACTTTTCATAGGCCCTGTTTTCTTAATGTCAATCCAACCGCATGAGCAACACTGCTACAATATTTCACATAATAATATGACAGTTTATGGTATCCCTAATTCTTAGATACAATTCCAAAGCACAATATTTGCTAGGACCATTACATTTGAGCATCAAACATGCTCATGACCGGTCTAAGAGAATAAAAATAATCAAGCATTATCATGAAAATAAAGTTTTATAGTTTCTTTTTTCGTAAATAAAAGAAAAAACTAATTTGATGGTAGTGTATAAGGTGACAATGTTATCAAGGATAGATAACCAATACCTGATATGGCTCAAAAGTATCACTTTCGGAAACATTAAGAAATGTTGCAAGACACACAAGCTGCAAAAGAGATATACAAGTATTATTTGTTTGGAACTTACTGAAAAACGGCCTTCAAAAATTGAGGTTGATAGATCATATGACATGGATGTGAGAGATAAAGCAGTTCATCCAAAAAAGAAAAATATTTGGAAATTCATCTCAAATTCAGCTAGTCAAAACTGCAATACTGACCTTCACTAATGCCGTTAAAAGATAAACAACAGCAGCTTTTACGGAAGTACCAAGAGTATCATATTCAGACCTGCAATAGTTTACAGAAGAACAATTTACAAATATTCAGGAAAAAAAACTATCAGGCACACCGCACACAACATCAGAAGTTGCATACTACTATCAAACACATATCTCTATTACAGCTTTCCCAAGTTGTACGAACATGCATATAGAATATTCTCTATTAGATTAGCCTTGTCCACGCCTAGAAACCTCAAAAGAGCCTAACTTTTAATGTTACTATGATCATTTCCAATGTCTTACCGCAGATGCAATAAGAAATACAGTACATGTAGAAACCTCAAGATTCTAACTTTTAGTGTTGCTATAATCGTTTACAATGCATTAAGAAAGACAGGGCACTTAGTTAAATACTTCCGTGAACCTACATTCATATTCAATACCAAGTACTTGAACAAACACCAAACTAGTGTACACTATTTTTAGCATATGATGATCAAAATTTTAAAAATGTGATACTCCGTCTTTTCCTATTGATCTGTCTTCATTCATTGAGCCACAGGTCAACACCAATTTAAAAAATGTTTTAGTGATAAAGTAATATACTTTATATATTTCACTTAAAATACCCTCATTTAATATGAAGTTATTACGCACTATGTTTAAATTACTCTCTTTTATACAAGTATAAGAAGGGTAAGTTTTGGAAAAAGAGAAATACTACATGGAACTCAAAGTACCCAAAGAAATATCAACATTGCATTAGATCGCAGCTACAGTGCAATTAAAAAAGAGATCCCAGAAGTGCATAGAACTTGAATAAAAAAGATTGAACATGGAGCTGTGTAGATAGAAGAGTTTGTAGAAAATAGATTTCAAAGAAAACGATCCAATGAGAACTATTTTCGGCGAGAAAGACATTAGATGCTACAAAAATTGGGCGTGAAAGAATGTGAGAGAAAACTCACAGAGGAGTGGCGGAGGATAGGATTGCACAGTTGAAAAAGTGGAAAACTGTCATCTTCCTCCCCTTTCTTCCTCCTTTGTGACAGGCTTCAGTCCCCAGCAGCTAGATGGGGAAAGATCCCACTCTCAGGTGCTATGGAATAGGATGGACTCGGCGGTGTATTGGGCTTTTCTCATAAAACTGGTCTCGGTTGTCTATTTCAACCAATCAAAAGCTCCACCCATCACAATTTGTAAATTCCAATTCATTTTTTATTGGCGAAATTTGATAAAAATAATCCCTACTTTTACTAATTAAACAAAACTAATCTCTACTTCAAACTTTTACATAATTAATCCAAATTTATCATGAGGGTCACACAAATATAATAAACGAGACGGAGCGCCCATTTAGTCTAACACCGTTTAACCATTCTATTCGTTACCTCTCTTCTCCATCTGTATTTCTCTGCATCTTCCTGCCTTCCTCACTCAATAACTCGTTCCTCTAATGGCATAGGGCGTAAATCCAAGTGGACATAACACATCGAGTTTAAGTCGCAGAAGATTGCCATTGAAAGTTTTAGCACTTGATATAGCTGTAAGTTATTTGTTTGTAACTAATGTCGAAAGCTTTTTATGGATAGCAACCTCCAGATAATACTTTCGGCGCATCATTTGCTCATTAACACTAATATAGTAGTGGTTTTAATTTAGGAGATCTTTTTTCCTTATTTGTAAGTCGATTCCAGAATAGTGGAACTCCCAATAGGTTAGTTTAAAAGCTGATGTATACGAAGGTCTCTGTTAGCAGAATACATTCTTGAATAAAATTGTTTCTTCTTCTAAGTTATATACACGTAAATCATCAATATTGAGTGATAAGTTTAGTCATTGTTTTTTTGGGTGCTAATGTAAAATAGTATTGTTTATTAATAATATTAATAACCATGGAGGAGTGTTACTGAAAAACTTATATCTAACATAGACCCAGATAAGTTAGATTTCCAGTGGTTATTTGATTTGCCTAAAGAGACGGGTATAGTTGCTGAAATTAAGGAGTTGTATTACCTTGTCCCTGGAGAGTCATTAAGTACAGGTTTGTATCAAATAAATAGTGGCAATGATGTTGCTGAAATAGGAAGGTTAGGCATGGAAGCAAGCATGTTTGACTTGTATATTGTCCATAAGGATGTGCGAACCCAATACACTAGTGAAGTCCTTTTTTTCTGAAGGGGGGATGATAACTCTGGAGAGATACAAACATATATGCATGATGAAGAGCAGGAGGACATTATGCAGCATTTCATTGAATCAGTTGATGGTGAAGAAGGTCATTCCAGTGATGAAGAATGGATAGAAGCAAGGCAAAGGATACAAAATTGGAATTTCAAAAAATGTGAGGAAGTAAAGCAGGTTAATGATTCGTTAGAAAGGGGTGCAGATCTACTAGACGCTGAAAAACATGAATGAACTTGGTGGATATGTTTCACAATATGAGGATAGTGATGGTGAAGTTGACTCCCCAAGAGAGAGTGAAGAAGATGATATTTTAGGGAAGAAGAAGAAGAAGTGTCAGGCACCAATTGTGAACGACTCAACTGATTTTAATAATCTGCAGTGGTGTGTTGGCTTAAGGTTTGGTACAAGAGATAAATTTAGAGAGGCTGTGACTCAATATGATGTGGCTCAACTGCTCAAGGTAGAAATTTGACATATTTTATTAGTGACAAAAAAAGAAGTCAAGGGCTTGGTGTTAAATGTGTAGATGGTTGCAAGTTTTTGCTTTATGACTCTTGGGAACACAAGAGAAATTGTTTTGTTTTAAAATCTGTAAACAACAAGCACACTTGTTGTAGGGACATGACAAGGAACAAACAATTGAAATCAAAGTGGATGGCTCGCAAATTGTTGCCCGTTCTCAAAGCTACACCTCATTGGCCTGCGAAGGAAATTGTGGAGGCAGTGAAGAAGAAATGGAAAGTTATTGTGAAAAGAACTCTATGCTATAAAATAAAGTATGAAGCAAATAAATTGTTACATGGTTCAATGAAAGACCATTATGCTAAGCTTGGGAGTTATTTATAGGCTTTAAGGAAGGCGAATCCCATTTCAACATTTGATTTAGCAGCTGACCCTAAAGTTGTAAGAAACCCCATGGTACTCCAGAGGCTTTTAATTTGCTTTGAAGGATTAAAATGCAGTCTGTTAAGTAGTTGTCGAAGACTAATATGTTTAGATGGTTGCTTTATGAAGACACTTTTGGGAGGGATGTTGTTAGTAAGAGATGGAAACAACCAAATGTTTCCTCTTGCATGGCCTGCAGTGGAGGGTGAGAACAATAATTCTTGAGAATGGTTTCTATCCAAATTGCAAACTTGTTTAGAGTCAACAACCGGAGAAGGTTGGACACTTATCTCTGACCAACAGAAGGTATGTTTACCTTGTTTTTCCTTCATTTAGTAAAGCTATTTGACTTTGTATACATTAAGTGTTAATTGACATTTTATGCAAGGTATGGTGGTAAATGCAGTAGCAAAAGTTCTACCATCTGCTGAACATAGAAATTGTGCGAGGCATATTTTCAAAAATTGGCACTCCAAATTTAAGGGTGATGAGTTGAAAGGGTATTTTTGGGAAAGTGTACGAGCTTATAATGAGAGAGATTTCACAGAAACTTTCAACAAGATAAAGATTGTGTCAAGTGCAGCAGCTGATGCTTTTGTAGCACAAAATCCCACTGCTTTTTGCCGGGCTTTTCTAAACACACACACACTAAATGTGATGTAATTGTGAACAATATGGCAGAAACTTTCAATGGTTACATCATTGAAGCAAGGTCTAAGCATTTAATCTACATGCTAGAAGATATAATTAAGATGCGCTTTAATGGAAAGACTCGTTGTGAAAAGACAGTGGTTGGAATCTAATGAAAATGACACATGCCTGAGGATAGCTGCTAAGTTGTAAAGGGCAAAAGATAATAGCATACATTGTTCTGTTATCCCTTCTTCGGAAACAAAGTTTCAAGTAAGGTATATCCTTGATGAGGTAGTGGTAGATGTGGAAAAGCAAACATGCACGTGCAGGAAGTGGGATCTAACCGTTATCCCTGGTTGTCATGCAATCTCTTGTATATTTTTTATGGGAAGAAAGGCTGAAGATTTTGTGCATTGTTGCTACAAGAGAGAAGCTTACTTCAGGAGTTACGCTGGGAAGATAGCTCCACTAGAGGGTGAAAGATGTTGGCCAACATCAGATCTGAAATGGGAACCCCCTCCTATCAAAGTACTGGAAGACCACAAAAGAAAAGAAGAAAGGATCCTTATGAGGATCTTAAAAAACCTGGGAAGTTGTCAAGACATGGAAGGGAGATGCATTGTAGTATTTGTCAGTCTAGTGGACATACAAAAAGAAATTGTAATTCTAAATCTGCTGAGCTGCCGCAGCCACTTCCTAAGAAGCAAAGAGGCAGGCCTAAGAAATCATGTACCAATGACCAAGATTTGCGTTCAAATGATCAGTCTGTTGTAGCCCAACCTTCCAATCGGGGTAGGGGTGGAAGCGGGTTAAGAAGGGGAAAAGGAAATCATGGTGGCAGAGGGAAACAAACTGTGAGAAACATACATCAATTGTTTCATGAAATTACATGTTGAGTGAATCTACTAGTGTAATAACTTTGATTCCAAGTTGATACCACATCTACTATAACCCTACAGATGGAAGCCAATACATTAATGTATGTATGATTCAACATGTATTCAAATTATTTGTGTTCAAATAATGAAAGAATAATTTAAATCTTTATTTACATTTGGTTTTTTGTAGACTATGACTCGTCCTGTAAATGTGGCTGATTTACCCTTCAATATGAGTGACTCATCTTCATTATTAGCACACATAAGCTCTACCACCAGTGCCATGGAAAATGGAATGTGAAGACAATATATGATCAAGTTTTTATCTATTTGTATGGACCTAATTTTTGTGGCTGGTGTTCAAATCCTGGATAGCTTTTCTTGTCTAGTGCAGCACACATTTGGATATGTAATTTTGAAATTTTTTGTAGCCAGACATGGTGTTTAATGGGTTATAATTTTCTGCACTGATGCACACGAGAGGAGCTCCCCCAGGTTGCTCCTCTCGTTCCTTCCCGCGTCTCGACGAGCATAGTTCTCATCTCCCCCAGGTTGCGTTCGATATTGTCCAGGCTTTTCTCCATTCGCGGTGTGTATAATTCATTCACCACTCCAGCTCGTCGATGCTCCAGGATTATTGATTCAGACTCTGCCTCCAGGAGCGAGTGCTCTGATACCAATGATAGGAACTCCCCAAACACAGCAGAAAACTTAGTTATATATTGAGAGCAAATCATATTGAAAAGAAAAGTAAATACCTTGGAGGAGAAGAGTAGACCAGAGCAGAATAATGAGAAGATAAGAGCGTCAAAAATTACTGTCATCAGGCCATATGGTTTTAACTTTCCTCCTGTCACTAACTCATATAAAGCTCCTTTACCAGGTTAAGATATCTGATTGCACCTGGTAAGGTCAAATGAGTTAGATAAATTTAAATAAGAACCAGATAAACATTAAAAAACCAATTAGAATTCAGCTCATGAGTTTCTACATTTTTTCTTTTAAGCCCCATGATAAGCTCCTTTTCGCATATCATGCCTTTCCATAGTATCTAACTCCTCAGTGTGGACAGTGCCTATAACATAAAAGAATCGTTGATTAAAAAACACTCCATTATCATGACTACATATACAGAAATCAATCCACTCTCACTCCATAATACATACAGAGTATTTTCTTTTTAACAACAAAACGTTATTATATGGAAAAGAATTACTGATGATCACCATACAAGTGATACAACTATTACATTTTGTACTGATATGCTTTGAATAATAATAATAATAAAGATAAACATGTTTGTTTTAAAACAATAACAAAACATTTCTAATAAGCAAAATGCTTCATTTTCTTCCAACACTACTATCATTCAACGGGTCTTTTTTGCATTGATAAAAAAGCTAACTTTTATCTTAAAAAAACATAAACTAATTTTAGCTAATAAAAACATAAACTGCACAGAGAGGGATATAAAGAAATAGGCATTCTCACCTACTTTTTCCTATCATATAATGTACAAGAACATGTGCTCTATCCCTTTCACATTGTTCTGCAAAACACAAAGTTCACAAAAATTTTGGTGGCTAAAAACGGGAAACATACGGGAAAGGCAATTGTGGATCTGCCACAAGATGGTGAGGCCATTCCGAAACTCGAAACCAATGTATAATAGTATTTGAAAAAATGGCTTAGATATTACTCAACAGCTTTCTTCGGACAAAAATATGATCAAAATTCGTGTGGACAAAAAAGGAAGTAAAATTTCAGCCGTTTCCGTCCCATCTCGTTCATCTCCCAGATCTGTGCATAATAAAATTTCACTGCCCATAGTTCATCTCCCAGATCTGCTCTTCCACCACATCTTCCTCTTCCATTCCCAGATCGGCACCTCCAGTCTTGCTGCTCCGCCGAAGGTACTTTGTCGCCTCCACCAGCACGTCAACACCGCTCTTGGCTGCTCCGCCGAAGGTAGCCATAGTTTATCTCCCAGATCTGCTTCTCCTTTCTTCTTTGCCGTGTCTCCTTATGAAGGCTATAGCATCTACAGTTCGGAGATGGTGGCGGCTACGGTTCGGCGGTGATGGCGGCTAGGTTCGACGATGGACGGCGTCTATGGTTCAGCGGTGGGCGGCGGCTTGCAGGTGGAGGTGCGGTGGTTGGGGAGGGGGATAGGGTTGGGAAGGTTGGCTGAACAGGTGGCTAGCCGCTGGGGATGGGGAGGGGGCTAGGGTTGGGGAGGTTGGCTGTACAGGCGGCTGGCCGCTGGGAAAGGCGCTGGGGATGGGGCTGTGGCAGGGGAAGGGGAGGGGGTGTGCCTGTGTCGGCGGCGGTGGGAGGCGCTGGCGGCAGCGGCGGTGGGAGGCGCTGGCGGCAGCGGCGGTGGGCAATGGGCTGGATGGTGGTCACTGATTTGGGGTGCTGGGGCATGAGGATGGGGAGGGACTCGGCAATTTACAAGAGACAGCGGTGGCGCTTGGATGGCGGTTCCGGCGGGTGGGTGGCGGCAATGTTGGATTGTGACTGTGTTGCCGGAAAAGGTGGTCGGAAAATTCTCCGGCAATCACAGTGACACGCTTCACCGCGACAGTGACATTCGAAAGTGACACGAAAATCGATAGTGACATAAAACTTTGATAGTGACATAAAATTTGGTAGTGACATAAAAATTTGACAGTGACATAATGTTTTTCCAAATATATGACTTAGTCATTTTTTTGTCCTTTTAAAATAATGGTCACATTTTTGGAATTTGACTTTAATTTAGTAACATTTGAGGAAAAAACCCATAGTATTTTATAATTGATGAACATTATAGATTTCAACAGTTTAATTTTATAATATACAGTTGTCTGAAAGGATTATATGAAAACTGATGTCACATATAGCTTTGTGTTCACATCATGTTGCAGCATTGCACTTGAAATAATGACGCATCCAGTATGTAACAGGTATGGGTTGTCACGCTTTGGGAAAGCCAAGCAAAAGAAGCAAGGGGAATTGATCAATTGATGCAAGAAGCCTCAGTTACACACTAACTCATTGAGGAAGTTATAAATTACCTCAATCAACTATGGTCATTACAGATCATTAGCAGGTAGTGAGGTACACAAGCAGCTTGTTACAAGTAGCCAAATAGGGTAAGAGGGCTTTAAACAGATACAAAGGATTTAGGCAGATCATGTTTAAGCACAAAAATCCTACATTTGCTATTTTTTAGGTTGCTTAAGCGTAAACATATTTGCTTACCAGGTTGGTGCCAGCAGCCGCCCTCCAATAGCGTATATTTAAAAGTTGGTGCAGTAAAAAGCTTGTAGTTGGGCTTTCAGATGGGTTGGCCGGTCTGCCTCATGCGAGTTCACAAGACCACACTATCACTTACTATGTCTAGCAGCTTGGAACTTGTGATTCTGAGAAATATTCTTGTGAGTCAAGTGCATCAATGAAAAATAGTCCCGCAACATCTATAAAGCCGACCACAGCTTTCAACGATTCCTGAAAAATTGTATGATGCATTCAAACAAAGGATGACACATACACAAAAGGAAACTAGTTGACAACAGTGAGTTTTGATATTAAAAATCAATAAATCATCATAGAAGTAATAGAACACATTAGTAATTGAATCAACATTAGTAAAAAATATCATAGGCAATATCATGAATATCATCTTCAATGCATTGAAATTCACTTTTACATTATTGATTCTTTTCCTCTTTTCAGGCTCCATTTTTTTAATGTTCAACCCAACAGCATGAACACTGCTGCTTCAATATTTCACATCATGCTACAGTATGCTGTCTTTAATTTTGAGACCAAATTCCCAAGCACAATATTTAAGATGAGCTTTATATTTGAGCATCCGACATAGTTAGGACTAGTCTACAAGAATAAAAATAATAAGGCCTTATCGTGAAAATAGTTTTATAGTCCCTTTTTCAAAATATAAGAAAAAACTTACTTTATGATAGTGCATAAGATTACAATGTTATCAAGAACATGCAATCAATACATGGTAGGGCTCCAACTATCACTTTTGGATACTTTGCGAAATGTTGCAAGACATGCAAGGTGCGCATGAAGAAAAAATATAAATGTTACTTGCTGTGAAACTTCATGAAAAAAATTGACCTTTAGGAATTGAGGTTGACAGATCATACAACATGAATGTTAAACATTAGAAGTCCTTCCAAAATACATGTTGGGAATTCAATTAAAATTTAATCAACCAAACTTGCAATACTAACCTTCACTTCATGTTAAATGATAAACAACAACAGCTTTTACTGAAGTACCAAGAGCATCATGTTCAGACCTTCAAAAGTTTACCCAATCACAACTTACAAATATTCAAGAAATAAAACTTATGAGCCACACAACATAGGATGTTGAGTACCAGTACCACTGTTAATCTATAAATAAAGAGGACAATTGTCAAACACATCCCAATTAAGTAATCCTAAATTTTGAAAAAAGTTGTGAACTCTCGAAAGAAAAAAGGATAAACTTATGAAATACCAATTTGTCAATTGTGTATCTGTATATAAATTAGCAAACCGGCTGAATCAAAGTCTAAAATGAATCTATTTATAAAATATAGAAGGTAGTTACATTTGCAAATGCAGAAGCAATGAAAGGACTAGCTTAAAATATAGACACATTATAGTGAGAACAAAATTTCCACAGTAACATAAAAAACTATTACTAAATGATTAAGCTATAAGCATACCTTCAGAGTAAGAGATCAAGATGTTTCGGTTGGGGGGTGACATGGTAAACTCTTTACGGAGTTTCACAGATACCAAAATGTGAATTGAATAGATTTAAGAGCTTAGTATGGCTCTTTTCCTCTTGCAGCCATCAAGGAAAGTGCGCCATATCAAAGCATTAGGAGGGAAAGGCATCTTATCAATTAGCTCCTCCGCTTCTACAAGACGACCACATCTTGCTAACAAATCAACAGCAATTACATAGTGATCCATTTCTGGCTCAACCCCATACTTGGAATTCATTTCCTTAAACAATGACATCCCTTGTTCAACCAACCCAGCATGCCTGCAAGCTGAAAGAACAGCCATGAAGGCCACCGCATCAGGCTTAATACCATTCATTATCATCTCATCAAATTTCTCTATTGCTTGATAAGCATATCCGTGTAGGCCAAGTGATGAAATAATAGCAGTCCATGAAATGACATTACTTTTGGTGATACCATTAAATATCTTTATTGAACTATCAAGGCTCCCACATTTTGCATACATGTTGATCATGACATTGCAGACAAATGTGTCGCACGAATTAGAATCGTTCCTAATAAGTAGGCTATGAAGAGAGCTGCCCAACCCCAAGTTGCATAGTGCAGTGCAACTACTGAATAGGCTAACATATGTGTAATTGTCGGGAATGACACCAGTTTTCTGCATGTGTCGAAATAGGTCAAAAACCTCTTTGTGATACCCAATTCTGGAACAAGCAGCAATCAAAATATTCCAAGATATCATGTCAGGAGGATCCTCAAGTGCGGAAAACAACTCCATAGTCTTATCATACTGACGGGATCTGTTATATATTCCAGCCATCACATTAGTTGAGACAACATCAAATGGTGTGCCATTAAAAGCTTTTGAGTTCAGTGCATCTGATAGTAAGCCATTTTTGGCATATCCACACATAAGAGAGCTTAATACATAAGAATACTCAAGGTAACCAGTTTTTATCATCAACGAATGAAGCTGCACTAATTCTGCTATGCGTGATGACTTCATGACAATAGAAAAAGAAAAATCATTTGGATAACAACCTCGGCGTATCATTTCCCGCATAAGCAAAAAGGAATCAGGAGATCCTCTATTTGAATATCCTAGAATCAACGTGTTCCAAGAAACTATACTCTTTTCGCATATGTCATTGAAACAACGATGTGCATCTTCCAATTTGTCGCATTTTACGTAGAAGCTTAATACAGCACTGCCAACCCTTACATCAATTTCAAGCCTTTTCTTGAAAAGCTGTGCATGCAAAGCTTCTCCATCAGATATACTCTTTAGCCTAGTGCATGAATTAAGGACATTAATGAAAGTGATTTCATTTGGGGAGAACCCATTCGCATACATTTCCACGAAAGCACTCAATGCTTTGTCTGGTGAATCACTGTTTGCCATTGCTCCAATTATTATGTTCCACGAAATAGTATCCTTCACTGGCACTTCCTCAAACATTTTATTCGAAGTTTGTGCGCAAAAACATTTTGCGTACATGTTGACTAGAGAATTCTTAACTGAAATTGCAATGTCCAATCCATATTTCAGTGCAACTGCATGCACCTGTTCTCCTAATTCCACATCAGATAACTCCACAAAACAAGACAGAAGGCCAACAAACGTGGCCTCCGACAAACCCCTTCCATCTCTAAGTATCTCAATGAACATTTTCATCGAATTTTCAACATATCCATGTTGTCCGAACAACACAATCATTGAATTCCATGTAACCAAATTCTTTCGAGGCATGCTCTTAAAAATCTGCCAGGCCTCATGTATACACCCGCATTTTCCAAGTGTAGTCAGTAATGAGGTCCCTACAAAAGCATTAGTATGAAACAATGGTGTCTTTTCAATCAGTGCATGCAATTGTGCCACTTGATGATAATTCAAGAACTTGCACGACAACAGCCCCCCAAAAGTAAATTGAGTGGGATCAAATCCACACCTCCTTATCTCAGAAAACAGCTTCCAAGCTTCACTTACATTCCCATATTGACTATACGCAGTAATCATAGTATTGTAAGACACAGCATTTTTATGTGTCATTTCATCAAACAAACCTCGAGCTCCATTCACGTCACCATAAAGGACATATTTGGATAAGACATTGTTGAGAGGGAAAATGACTTGTTCCAGGGTAAAACCAATTTTGATGATGAGTGCATGAAGAGACTTGGTTACACTAAGGGAATGAATTTGAACCCATGTTAACGGTTCTTGAAGTAACTCTATGAGTCCAGACTCCAGAGTGTTTGATATTTTCAACATGATAAAGACAATTCTCAGTAGAAAATGAACACTGGAATCGTGGACCACTGAAGAAAAGAAATTTGATTTTCAAAAACTTTGTGGTGATGGAAGCCAATGAAATCGCCTTTTTCATGACGTTAGGACTCAAACCTGGGAGATTCAACAAAAGAGCATTTAGTAATTGTTTACAATTTAGAACATGCACAACCAGAAATCTAAAAAAGTGGGTGTTCACATCAGCAGAAGTGGAGTGGCTGATAAATAAAGGATTGATGAACTCTAGCTTTCCATTTTAACAAAGAGCAGCAGCCTTAAAGCATGCAAATGTTATAAGGAGTATTACTTAGAGGATAATTAGTTAATTACAATAGAAACCTAAATTAGCTATTAGGTGATATCTGACACCAGGGCCATAAGTGAATAAAAGTCCAAACAACGAGAACAAGTCAGTTTTCCTTCATTTATTCTTTTCAAACATAACACCCTTGTAAAATTGCCAACAATAAATTTATAACCAGTAGCTTTGTATCGAAATTAAGATTTTCTTCAAATTAGTTTCCTTCTGAATCCACATACAAATCTCAAAACTGTAATGCAAATGAAGAGACAGACAAAGTAACTAGAGTCAAAGAGGATATTTTCTCACTGATATGCATGTCATAAATGTAAAAAAGAACTTATAACCTCAAAGTACATTGGTTGGACAATTGGACCTCAAAAAGCACAATTCATACTTACTTAGGAAACAAGACCGGGATCACTCTTAAACAACTTTCTCAGAGTTGTCACCACCAATTTTTCCTGCATTTCTGAAATTATGTGGAATGCACCTGGGGAATAATCAAACTAATATCAAATTTTAAAAAAAAAACATTATAACTATTCTAAATGATCTGTTTTCCCAACACATTATCCCATTTGGCATCTCTTCCATTAAAAAAAGAGTAACAAAACTATTATAGATTAAGGTATTTATCCATGTTAAGATTCCTCGCTAAATAAAGTTGAAACTTATAAAGAAGCAACAATCTAATCAGGGGCGGAGCCAGGAATTTGGTTCAGCAGGGTCAAAAACTAAAGGCATAATTTTTTTTTGAGAAAAAACGCCAAATATATTATATTAAAAGATCATGAGCCAAGAGTTTACAATAAAAGAAGGCGGCGTTGTAAAATTAAAAAATTAACCAGGATGGAGAAAGTTTGGATTCATGTATGAAATAAATGGAAAGTTTAACCATGAGGTAACAAATACTGTTGTATTTAGTACCACTGTGTAGCTTCTTCATATATCATCAGAATTCAGATCAGGACTAATACTTTCCTAATCAATTTTCTCTTACATTTATTCAGGGAATTAAATTCAGCTTCAACTCTTCAATAAAGATCAGCAATAAAATTAAAAAAGTTCAAATAAATCAAAATATGTGATCTTTTAGTTCTTTATGATAATTTTTAATAATTCATATCTTATCATGATAAACTTTAGTCCAAATTCCTATTTAGTACAATCTCCCGGTTTAACTCTTCAACTCAAACTTCTGTTTTAATTCCCAGTTTTAACTCTTCAGCTCAAACTCCTGTTTTAATCTGCCAGTTTTTACTCTTTAGCTCAAACTCCTATTCAGTTCAATCTGCCAGTTGAACTTTAACTCTTCAAGAAAGCATGTCTATCAATGTAGTCTGCAATCTACAATTTAATATGTGAACACTTCAAACTCAATGATTTCTCTAACATTTACCTAATTATTTCCCCCAATAGTGAACACCTCAAAGTCAATGTTTAAACCCTTCAATTACAGCCTCTAAATGCTCAATACTTCTAAAGTTCTAATTAAAAACTAACCTGCAAGGTTGCAATTCACAATTACTTGAAGCTTGAAGGCTTGAGGCGGTGAAGATAAAAGAAGAGTCGGCCGGCTGGAGAAGACCACTAAAGCTGCGGTGTGCGGTGTGCCTGACTGGAGATGAACACTGCGGCTGTCTTCTGTAAACTGTGGGACTGCGGCTCTGCGGGCTGAGGAAGGCGCGGAAGACGGCGGACCAGTTGGAGTTGAACGGCTGATTGTCTCTGGGAGAAGGATTTGTGGAATAGACTCATAGAGGGCAAAACCTTCACGCAGAAGTCAGGCAAGAAGGGGTTTGCAACTTTGCGTATAAGATTTCTCTGGGTTTCAAAAACGACATTGTTTAATTAAAAAATAATAATTTTTTCCAAAATTCCAGCAGGGTCCACTGACCCCTTGACCCCTAGTACCTCCGTCCCGAAAACAACTTCTCGGTTGGACTTTCATACACTTTTAGAAAATAAATTTGACTTTACTGTTTTGCACTGTTTAAACACTGTTTGGCACTGTTTAAACACTGTTTGGCACTGTTTATCACTTTTTTGATGTAGATAATTTGCCAAATAAGGAAAGTATTGAAGTGTGAAGTTAATTTTGGGACATCCATTTAAGGAAAGTGGGAAGTTGTTTTCGGGACGGAGGGAGTATAAATTTATAATACGTAGTATATAATATATAATACTCCGTATATAATTAAGTACATTAATGAGTTCTTTGAGTCTATGGAAATAAACAGAGCAATTGTTCCCTACATTTAAACAAAATACCAAAAAAGAATGGAAATAAAGTAGATAGTTTGAAATCGAAAAATAAAAAATAGCTTAATAGAGTTCTGGGAAAATATTTCACCTCATGAGTATGGAAAGGCTAAAACTATTGAATCAGTTTTACTCCGTATAACATTACCTAGAAGAACGAATGGGTGGAGAATAATACGGTGTAGAAAGTATTACGAGTATAAAACTATGATGTCTGGGAGAAAAAGTGACTGACACCCAGTATAGCAGATAATTGTAGATAAACTCAAGTACATTAATTCAGTCCAAAAAATCGGAGAAAACTCCGCAACTGTAGATAAAATTTAATACAAAAATCAAACAAAATAAAAAACAGCGTATTATTATTATTAAAATGAAATTTGGAAGATGCAAATTTGGACCATTTATCGATTTCGCAAGGACCCTGGTGGTCTTCGTTGTATTGTTCAAATTTATAGGATGTCCCCGAATGGACACTACGTGCCACTTATGCAGAACATTAGTAGTAGCGAGCAACCACATTTGAGGAATGTTTTTGTGAACAAGTATTGTTGTATTTCATATACTTCATATCTAAAATACTATACAAGAAGCTATATTTATTGCTATATTTAGAGTACTAGGGTTTTCCTATACAAATGGGTAAAGCCCAATACTACTAGGGTTTCCACACTCCCCCTCAAGCTGGAGCATATAAATCATATGTACCAAGCTTGTTACAAATATATTCCACTCTATGACCTCTAAGAGACTTAGTTAAAATATCTGCAAGATGTTCAATTGTGTTCACATATTTTGTGATGATATGTCCACCCGCGATCTTCTCTCGGATAAAATGACAATCAACTTCAATATGTTTTGTCCTCTCATGATGTACCAGATTCGATGCGATATGCATTGCAGCTTGATTATCACACATGAGTTGAACCGGTTTTGTGTTCCCATATTTTAACTCTTGGAGCTGAGGAGATTCTTCAACTATAAGATTTCACATGTAGCAAGGGTCATTGCACGATATTCTGCTTCAGCACTATGGCAACCACATCCTGTTTCTTACTTTTCCATGAAATTAAGTTTCCACCAATCAAGATGCAATATCCCGAAGTGGAACGTCTATCCATCGGACATCCGGCCCAGTCTGCATCACAGTATCCCACAATATCATGGTGGCCTCGATCTTCAAACAACAATCCTTGCCCTGGAGTTTTCTTGATGTATCTCAAAACTCGGATAGCTGCATCCCAGTGTCCAGTACATGGCTTATCGAGAAACTGACTAAAAACACTTACCGCAAATGAAAGATCTATATTTTTATTTGTTGGGTGATATGCACTAATTAGTAGTGCATAAGTGTATGTTTTTATGTTTGATTTGTGTGGTTTGTTTACCGTTTTATTTAGTTTGTAAACATTTGTGTGATTTTAGTTGTAATTGTATTTTAATCTTCATTTGTAAGTTGTAAAGTAGAGTTAGGAATTAGGGTGTTGAAAAGGAGGACTTTGAAGTGAAGAAAAATAAGATTTGGCTGCCCAGAAGCAAAAACCCGACCGGGTACAATACTTCACCCGGTCGGGCATGACAAAAAATCAGAAACTGCTGAGAAAGTCACTAGACCCGGGCGGGTCACTTATTTGACCCGGTCGGGTCAGATGTGACCCGGAACACCAGAACATGCCGAAGATCGCCAGAACGTGGGAAATATTTGATTTTGACGTTGACCCGGTCGGGTATGTCCTTTTACCCGGGCGGGTCAATGCCCCAGGGTATTGAAAACACCTATAAATAACCCCATTTTCCTTCACAAAGAATCATCCCTTCTTCCATACTCTTAAGCTCAGTTTAGAATAGTATTTCTTTTATATTTTTATAGCATGTTTAGTCTCCAAATGAGGAGCTAAACTTCCATTTCTTGGTGTTGCTCTTGAAGCTTGTTGATTATTAAAGTTGTGAGTTATTTTCTTAACTTCTTCCCTTGAATATTAATTATTCTCTTAATCTATCTATATATTAATGTTGGGGAGTGTTGCTAAGATGACAATTAGATAACATCTTGACATTAGTTATAGTAGGATTATTCATATTTAATCTTCTTCCTTGAATATTAATTCTTCCCTTAATCTATCTCTATGTTAATGTTGGGGAGTGTTGCTAAGATGACAATTAGTTAACATCTCAACATTAATTACTACTAGAAACGTTCAACGAACCGATGGTTAATCGTTGATGGTTTCACAAGTAAGTAACTTCGGTTTATTAATGCACGGTCGTGGTTAATAAACTTAAGAGGGATTAATTTTGTTGGTTAAACCGAAACCGTTGTGTTGAGGTTATCAATCTCAATTGATTTCGTCAAGGAGTTAAGAGATTAAATGCTACTATCAAGTCGGTATATGGCGGTGTTCTATACTTGACTAATAGTAAGGGTTATTAATGAACGGTCGTTGTTAATAACTACCCTCGATGAATTGGATATATTCCTCGATTGAGTATTCGAGAGGGGATAAGTTATAGATATAATAATGATCGACTAAAATATATCAACAAGTGGAAAGTAGCAATGCCAAGTCCTTTTTATCTTTGAATTAAATCTCATATAAGTCCTTCATCTTAGTATTTAATTAATTAAATTCCAACAATACCAAAACCCCCCTTTTATTTACTAGTTCATAAAAAGAGAATTATTCCTTTCCCTGTGGATACGAACTCTACTTCACTATACTACGTATTAGTGCTAGTATTGAATTTATTTTGACGCACCGTGACAAAGTGCACGTCAAATTTGGCGCCGTTGCCGGGGAAAGGCAATTATTTTTCTTTTTATTTTATCTCATAAAAATCAAAAAAAAAACAAAAACAAAAAAAAAACTTACTCTTCAATTTTCTGAGCTTACATGAGTTATGAGTGTATGGATACCAACATTTCATCCTTAGAGAGTCAAATTTCCTTCTTGACTTCTCTAATAAATGAATTTATCTTATGCTCAAAAGCTCAAGATGCCAAGACATGCAACATTTGCATGTCTCACAGGCATCTAACGGATTTCTGCCCAAAGCTCCAAGATGAATACCTTGAACAAATTGATGAGGTTGGTTACGAAAGGGATGTACCTCAAATGAGGTATGATCCGTTCTCCAACTCTAACATGTCTACGGAGGATATGGTCCGGGCTATTGCTACCAACATGACCACCATGCAAAACAACATGGTGCAATTCCAAAATGAGACCAAGTCTAGCATTTTAAACTTGGAAACTCAAATGAGTCAAATAGCCGGAGCCGTGAGTAGGCTTGAAGAAAGGGATTCGGAAAAACTTCCTTCTCAAATAGAATGTGATCCTAAACAGCAAACTTTTGCAATCACATTGACAAATGAAAAGGAAATGCAAAAGGAGATCCAGAATCCAGAAGAAGTAGAAGAAGTAAAAGATACGGAGCTCCAACTGGTCAAAGAAGAGGATAAGCCGAGCTTCAAATTCAAATTTTTGTCATTGTCATCCTTTGAGGTATCTCCATCATTTCTGGAAGCTTTAAGAGAAACTCATAAACTTGAAAAGGACAATGACATTTCCGAAATCTTCTTCAAAATTGAGGGGTCGAAAAACTTTTCATTGACCATGCTGAACGATAGTTTCTTCCCCTCCTTCCCACATGAATCAATGAAAATCTGGATATTTGATCCTGGAAAGATTTTCAAAGTGAAGAGTCGGAAAATTGAGCATTCCTATGTAAGTCCTAGGAGTGAAAATGTGAAGAAGATGAATTATCACCATCCAAGCTTGAACGATTGAACACAATGATGGCGTCGTGCCGCGACGTTAAACGAGGCGCTTCTTGGGAGGCAACCCATGCAAGGTGCGTTTACTTGTTTCATTTTATTTTTGCACTTTTCAAAAAAATAAATAAAAATGAATCACCCCATTCTTCTTCCCAAAATTCGAACCCAAAAATCTCCATAGTTACAATTTCACACCTCAACCATCCACCAAACCCACAAACTAAACACATACTCTTCTTATTCTCTCCACTTTTTTCATTTCTTTACCAACAACACCCACCAAATTACCCAAAAATCCGAATTCCCTAACTCCACCTACACCAAGTCAGAATTTTGCTCAACCAACAAAGAAAGAAATGGCACCACAAAAAGGGTTCATCTTCTATGACGTCTTGAAGATGAGCACTAGGGACAGTGCTTTGGCTAGCTTGGGGGGAGAGTTTTATGGACTACTCGCATTCATACTCTTTATTCTTGTCAAAAAAAAAAATTGTTCAAAAAAAAAAAAGAATAAAAAGCTTGTTAAGTTGAAAACCTGAAAAGGCAACTTAAGCAAAAATAAAGCAAAAATAAGAGTGAGTTGTGAGGATTAAAACAGAAAAATGTGGGAAGCTGGGATGAAAACCCGAAAGGGCACCTAGGCAAAATGAGAGAATGAGAGAAAATATTTTCTTTTATTTCTGCAGGATCCTAAGGGTAACGTTAAAAAAAAAATGAGGTTGATGAGAAATATGGAGTTGAAGACCCGTCTTTACTCTTATA